ATGCGTTGATTCCGCGTGAATGAAATAGTGCCAAAACTCTCATGTGCGTACAATCAACCCGATGTAAAACTCGATATTCGTGTAGCGTAATTGAAAAGAAAAAGCCTGCTGGTAATCCATCCTTATCCCGTGCACGAAAAGCAACGTACTTTTTCAAAATTACCCCCTTTATCATTTTCAGATTTGCTAAGTTGCATTGTCTCACATTTGTTCCGTGCGAAAAAGTGGGTTTAGGACATCGCTATTTGTATATTCGAAATGTCAACCCCGAATAACACTTTCCTCACAAGAGGAAAGTCCGCAATTATTTTATTGTGTTGAGCCCCTCCTCTTATTAGGAAAGTGTCATTTGGAGTGTCAACTCCGAATATACAAATAACTTTATTGTTACATATTATACAAAACGACACCCCATACCCCACCCCACCCCACGCCTCCTCATCCTCCTCACTTCAAAGATTCCAAGCCCATTCCCTTTCTCCAAACGTCTATTTACATATGTACATGTATCAACACTGGGTAATTTTCTCTATTTCTCCGGTATCCAAATCAGACGAGCGGCGAACACTTAGATGTTTGCGGGTCCCACATCGCCGGGACCAGGAACTTACGGCCGTTCACCCCGTGCGCATTGTAACTGGCTCCAGTGATCTTATCCGTCAACAAGTTACCTGCATAACCCGGGTACGCGCCCGACCCGAACACGCCTGTGCAAGCAGTAACGGCCTCCAACGGTGCCGTGGCCGGTCCCTGAAAATACCCGTTGTTAAACGGGTTCGTCACTGTTCCCGCCAAAACCGTGGCCAGGTTGATGACCATCCCGTCAACTCCAACGTCACCGTTAGGCGCCACTAAAGGTGGTGACTGCGGGCCGTAAACGGGCTGGTGGAAGGGCCAGGCACAGTAACCCGGGCACTGAACCTCCGCGTTTCCCACCCAAGCATAGGCAAACCGAGCCGGGCCCCGGGTTGACCCGTGGCTACCACATCTATTCATACAAAAACCATTAACGGCGACATCTTTTGCCGTCAAAACAACGTTAATCGACCCTCTTAAGTGCCCACCTTTGGATGCCAAGTAAATTAATTGGGAATTCTTGAGGAATTTTCCAAGAGAGTGATTTTCGTCAAGGATTTGTTTTCCTACGACGAGTGTAGATGAACCACCTCCCTTGTATTTCTCGGTAGTCTTCCACCAGGAAGAAACGGAGGGTATTGGTGCTTTGAGAGAGTTTAGAGATTGCAGAAAATCAACGATTATGGAGCGTTGGATTGGAGTGAACCTTCCGTACCAAATTAGATTAACGGTGATGGGGCCTTTTAACAAGTCACCGTTGTGGTATTTCAATAAAAGGGGCTGTTGCTGTACCAAAGCTGCCATAGAAGAAGAGTTGAACAAGAAGAAGAGTAAAAACATAGAAGAGGCAGTTGCGGAACAGTAATTTGAAGCCATTATTTCTTGAGAGCTTAAAGTTATGCGGAGAACGGGCGGTATTTATATTGGGGAAGGAGAGGGGAGGAGGACAGCTGTCGGGATCAAGCGTCAACATCTAGTTGCCACGTGTTGAGATATGATTGGGAGAAGTTTATTGCCAGGCTGGAAGATCTTGAGTGACGTGGGTGGTCTATGGCAGGGGTCGATTGTGACGTGGTAATTTGGCAATGCACGCGATGTAGACGTGTCTTACTCTATTTATACATACTCTAGTTTTGAAAATCAGAGCCGCGAAAACTGTTTTACGTACCACATTTTTCTTGATTCATATCTTAGTAGGATTAAAATTAAAATTTTAATTTCAATCAAAATTAATAATTAATTTTAATAACATAATTTATCAAATTCATAATTTTTTAATTATATATTGTATCAACTTCTATTAAATGACTAATATCTCACATTTATAAGGACTTTTTATTATATTTCATATATTTATAATTGTTTCTTTGATAGAGGAAGAGTGGAGAATAAAAGTTCTAATTCAGAAATAGTCTCAATGATAAATTTTTATATACATATACACTTGACAAATGTTTATTAACAATTAAAAATGATTAAACAAAAAACTGCCAAATTAATATGTCAAAAAGTCTACCATTGAACCTGTTCAAACAGCATTATTGGGAAAATAAACATTACGGCCCGTTTAGTATCTATTTTTTATAAAATGTATTTTTCTCTCTTCTTTTCAACCACACTTTTTTATTAAAATAATATTACACGTAAATAAAAAAAAAATTCTGATTTTTCAATCACACATTTTTTATTAAAATAATATTACATGTAAATCAAAAACTTTTTCTTATTTTTTATTCACACATTTTACATCAATTTACTATTCTAAAATATATTTTTACATAAAAATGACTATCAAACACCCCCTACATGACTCATCGGCTCTTAAAACTCGCCATTTGTTGACATCCAACAATTTTTTAATTTTGAAATAAATAGATAATTATGACTATTATCTACAAAATATATATATATATATATAGAAAAACATTGATGTACACTTAGTTTGACATTCCTCTGTTAGTCAGAACGTACACCTTACATTGTTCAAAAATAAAAGAAGAATGCTCCTTGTTCGCTCCATGTTGTTTGATATTACTTGAAAATTCAAAAACGAATAGGTGGAAAAGTGTGTCATTTTAAAATTGGCCACTCATGCTGCGACACATGGCACAATATCAAATTTGATGATAAATAAAATGTACATGTAGTATGATGGTAAATAAAAACAAAAAGGGGACCACCGAACCTAATCACGTAATTGACAGGGTTTGGTGCAGAAGCGTAGGGCAGGGCTAGTGAGGGAGGGACGCGTTTCGAAATTTGAGGGCTTGGTAATGGGCCCACTTGGAAAGTCCGTGAGGATGACGTCATTCTGGGTCCCATTGTACGAACTCCCATGGAAGTGCTTCTCTACTTTATTCATTGGTTTATTAAACCTAGTAGGCTAGTAGATTTAAATAACACGAGACTGGACCCCCCTCTTTTCATATGTCAAATTTTTCAATTCAAAATAAAATATGTCCATTTAAATTAAAATATATCTTAAAAAAGAATGTTACTTCACATTCAAAATAACTAATCATGTAAAGAAGTTCGACATATGAATGGAACAACATTGGAGGTTGGTGTGACGGCAAACCATAGTGGTTTCGAACTCGCTGGTCGAATATTGGGCCAGTACCAATTGAATCTTTTTTCTTTTCTTTTCTTTTTTTATAGAAGGATTTGGCTTCCAATTTTGTTAACACTTGTTCATTTTATGTTATTTTTTGCAATTTTTGACTCTCGATACATGTAATGTTTGACTATATGTGCATTGTATCGTAATTAGTGTTGTACCTTAGCTAATCTCTTGTAAGCACCAATCATTTGGGAACGAGAGGGGTGAGAATGTCAATTTAATTAATTGTGGAATCAACATTCTTGGACTGTGCTACAATATTGATCACGATAATGTCAATTGCTAATTGGATTGACAGTTGAGCGTTGGTTTGTTGAATTAAGGCAAACATTGTGTACCATTTTACAATGTGTAGTGTGTTTTGATGATACGAGAGTTTTGCATGAGATGTTGTCAAGTGTCATCTTTCATATTGTTGTATTAGCTTACTATCTGGTGACTTTCATTATACTCTCTAATTTGTCGGGATTTTGTGATGTACTCAATGCATGTTTTGACTCTTCAATTCACTTTGAATTTTGGCCTTTGGTTTCTCAATTCTTTATATTTCTTTCTATAAATTCATCTCTATTTTCTGAATTTAAAAGATTTTCCATTATCCAAATCTTCTTCTAGATTATTGATTCTTGAGTGATCCATGTAAATCAAGTGAGGGTGAAATTTAAGTGTTTTAACTGTTCTTGCTTTCAGGAGAGAGATTTTGTAAATCTTGAGTAATTTCGATTTTTGGTTCCCTAAAATTGTACAATGGACGATTTGGCTCCAATTTAATGTAGCGATTTTCTTTCATTGGCAAAATTTAATTGCCTCCTACTCCGTTCCAATGTGATCATCACAATGAGAATGTCCTTCATTGGCTAATAATAATTTGATTTTGACGAATTATCTTATTTTATATGTAATTTTTACCTTATTGTTAATAAACAAGTTATTATTTTTAACTGACTAACTTATAAGTTAGCTTTTAAGCTTTAGTCAAACACGTTAAAGTCCCATTACTATTTCGTTTGCCAACATTTGTTGGAGAAATATGGTATTAAGATAATCACGTAGTTGATTTAAAAAAAAAAAAAATTATTGTGTTTTGTCATTATTATTGATGATATTGTCAATCAAGATCTTGAAATGTTTGTTTATTGAATCTTTCAAATTTAAGTCACTTCCACACCACAGGCTTTATTTCTTGTTTTGAGCAACACAATTTTATTCAGAGTATAAAAAAATCTACACTTTCACTGAATCAGTGAATTACTCGAACACTGTTAGGAAACAAACACTGATTCAATAAAATCGTTTTTCTGGTTATACTTCCAAACAGGCAATCTATTTACAAAAGTTATACTAATAAAAGCTTTGCCAAATGGAATTTATTGTTCTATGAAAAGTAATGAACTAAATAATTTTATTGTCTTTTTTCATTTTACATCCTAATTTTTCCCATTCTACAACGAGTTATCTAGAATAATTTAATAATTCGTAATTCTAGATCGGCTAATTGTTCTTGAATAACACATGTATCAGTAGGAGAGTCAACGAATCAAGTCAAATCGACTCGCGAACTGAAACTCTTGACTTGGGCTTTTTTACATCGTGCTTTTTTTTGCTCGAGCCAAACAAAAGCTCAACCAAAAAATTAAGGCTCGAGCGGAACCCGAGCTTTCGGCTCTATTTTTTTCCTCTTAATTGCCGGTTTAAGGCAACTGTTTGGCAGTAAATAATATTTTTTTGGCCGTCTATTTTTTTTTTTAATATTTAAACGGGCCGATCCATGTGGCTCATTGAGCCACTTGGGCTGGGCTAGGTTTGCGCCGACTTTCCAAAATATGGCTCGCCCCGAGCCTCAGCTCGATACCTCTGAGTCTCGAGTCGGACTGGTCGATGTGCCCGATTGCCATCTCTATGTATCAGTAAAGACTTCTTGATTGTGAAATGTATTGAAGCCTTGTGTGGTAAAAGATAGCAGAATGCTATATTTTCAAGATTAAATTTCATATTTCGAATAAACCTTGTAATCAAAACTGCACTTTAGATATTCGCCTAGCAAAAGGAACAATTGGGATAGGATCCTATATGATCTCCCCCCTTCAAAAAATCAGACGTGAAAGTTTCCATTTATTTGATTCAAGTAGGTACACCATATAAATAAAGGAGTTCTCGCTTGCAAATTCTAAATATCCCCAAAACAAAAGGAATCTACTTCTTACTCAAGTTTCCAGTAAACACTAAGCAATATTTCATTGATTCCACCTTCATTTCTTTTTATTAAGATTTTTTAATTCGTTATTCAATTACGACATAAATGAAATGTCAAATTCTTGAGTAGTTTACTTGCTTCGAATGATGAATCCCTTAATTCTTAATTTAAGAATTAAAGTGATTCATTATACTATTAAACATTATTTCAATACCTTGTACCAATCTTGTTTTGTGTAGCTTTAATTTGTTCTTCAATTTAACAAATAGTGATATATTTTATATAACCTATATTTCAAATTTTCTATCTTGAACTCAATTCGACTCAAATGGACATATTAGTGTCAACTTGCTATCTAAAATATCGGACGGCCCTGAATTACCAAGTAATTTGTGGCTAAGTGATGTAGGGACCCAATTTAGAAATTGGAAAAGAGTCCAAAATTAGTGGACCAATCAGCAAATTAAATACAGGCAACGTGGCAATGTTTGACCAGTCCACGTATTAACTATTATCACATGAATCAAAAGAGTTAGTGATTGGTGAGTCCCGCATAACAAGGCATGATCATGCGTTGCATAGTAAATTTTTCTTCTTCTTGTCCTACTTTGTCCTAAGCCAAACAAAAAATCCTAAATAGTGCCATGATCATACATCATATTTAATTCCTTTTTTCCCCCTTTTAATTAATATTCAATCTTGTATTAACAATGTAACGTCTAGAAAATGTTTTATATTTCATAGAACTAGTTTACGAAACAACTTGTTTACGTATTTGACTTGAACCTCTCTATTTGATGTCAGACGCTATTCTTATTGACGTAGTCGATTTTTTGAGGCGCGAATTGGAGTCTTCTTGCCAGGTAAATTCACTTGTAAGAGCAGTGAGCACGGAGATAAAACGCCAATCAGAAATCACGACTTATCTAAATATTTTAGTGACATTGGCTTTAGCATGTTTAAAAATGTGGTTAGAAAAGCTATCTTTTCTGCGTACTTTTCCAGATCTGCATTTTATGCTGACTTTTGAAGAAGAATAATTTTTTTAAAAAAATCATAAATAACAAAAGTCAGTAAGCCCCACTGGTAAA